CGGCCAATTACCAATTGACTTATATATGAATATCGATCAGGGTTTTTCTATCAAATAACAATATGGAAAATCCATGAAGCTATCTTTCACGTGCTTTCTTTAATTAACTCAAAGTACAATATATCATGTACAAAAAATTATTTTCAATTTTAAAAAATAAATTTGTACATCAGTATGTTTGTAAATTTTTACATTAAAAAATAAATAAGATAAACTTAAAGAGTTTTTACTATATAATTTTAGTATGTACCTCAACAAGAGCTAAACAACAAAATCAAACCACATTCAAATGGAGATAAAGTAGATAACGTTGATGTGTGGGGGACAATCAACAATACAACAACAACAATAACAGCTCGCATTAGTTGAATGGGTGAGCGAGATGGCACACAGAGAAACCGCAAATACCAACAACAGCAATAGCACCAACAACGACAGCAAAAGCTTCAAAGACGCGTGTCAAAGAGGGATTCGTGCAATTTGCGCATGCGGCGTCGCCTTTCACTTTCTTTGTACGCGATCGGACTTAAACCGCTCTCTGCACTGCTCATTCTCTCGTTCTTCCTCTGTGTGCTTATATACATATTTATGAAACATTAAGCTAATACTTTTGGTAAATACGAAAAAGTGTGACCAAATGCGCTAAGAGGAATGTACCAGAAACGCTACTAAGGCTATTATAAATTTACAATTCAAATCACTTCGATAATATCCAGAATATAATTGAATATACATATATAGGCAACTTAACAAGTTTTAAATAAAAGATATTATTTAAACAAATTTTAATAGAGGCTCACTTATCAATGTGTCTTAAGTTCTTTCCAAAACTCACCTTTCATCCTTCAACAACTCTTCGGCTTGAGCAAGACGCAGTCGCACCGTCTTCATGCTCTGTATGGGAAAGAGGCGGCAGAAGGGCGTCAAGAAGGCGGGACGCCAACAAAAGCGTGGATATTCCCGACACACTTCCCACAATCGCTGATTATGTTCAAATAAATAAGTGTGCGTTTTGCCATATTCCAAATAGTCGGACATATCGGCGTAATCACAATTGAGCAAATTCTTAAGATTTTGTACAGCGAATTGTTGTTCCTCAGGCTCGCGCACTTGTTTAATGCCAAAATCTAACAGTGGCTCATAGTGATAGTAATTGCCGGGCATTGCATTTAAAATGTCACCCAGGAACGTGGAGCCCGAACGCCAGGTGGTGACCACAATGCTCCGCACTGGTGTGCCCCCCGTTTCGGGTGTCATATCATTTAGCTTTTCGGCACCGCCGCGCGGATACTCGAAGTTTTCCATTTCCTGGAGAATGCGCGCACGCTGCCCAGCCAGGACATCCACTATGGTCGCTGTCATATTGTAAATTGTGGCGGCCGTTTGTGATGGCTGCTGCTGCCGCTCATAGTAGCTGCTGCGTGGAAGCTGATTGGAAGCGAGAGCGGCGCTGTTGCTTCCACCTACACTTCCAGCGCTGCTGCTGCTGCCAAAGGGAGACATGGAGGGACGGCGCTGCGTGGTGGCAATCAGCAGCAGTATGCACAAACTGCTAATGCCGCAGATGCCAATGAGATTTGCGCGTCGGGACATGCGGCTGCGTCGACGTTTCGAATTTAAGCTGATGCGCTGCTTAGTGCGTGTCCTGACAGTGGGCGGGGCTAAGGCGGGGGCGTTAGCGTTAGCGTTGGAGTCGTTAGCGGCAGTTTCGACTGTAATGCCGGTCAATAGCGCGCAGGACTCCAAGTCTAGATCGCTTGTGCTCATTTGATACTACTTAAATTAATTAGACACTTTAGCACTTAACTTAACGCTTTCAACTTTACACCTATTCACTTTTGTTTACATATTCACATAAACAAATCATACACACACACATACATTTATACGCACGCCAACATGACCACACAAACAAATTTGTCGCAGAGTAGCAGAGTAATACTAATTAACATTTTCCAAGTGCGCAACACATTGTAATTTTTTAGTAATTTCGCACGCGTCTTATTTCTTATTAATTATTTTGACCCAACTGTCCCGTCGAAACCCAATGCGACGTTTGGCGAGCTTTCCGAGAGCAGCGAAAACGAAATGAACAGCTGTGTTGTCCGAGTGCGGACGTAAGGCGTTTTGTACTAAAATACACCGAATATGTTCCAATTGAAAAATACTAAAAATACTGCAAACGCTGTTCTAAGTCGGCTATCGATTGCAGTCGATATATTGTAGATAAAGTGTGCGTGCGATATAAGCAAAAGAAATACGAAAAAGTACGGCAAAGTTTTCCCGTTATGTCTAATTTTTTTAGAAACTGAAATTGAGTTATGCAATGAAAAAAGTTGTAAAATCGTTGCTATAAAAATACTGCAAATGATTTTTTTTAATCATTTCTCCATATATATAATAGTGTTCAATGCAGTTAATAATTAGTTATTTCACTTGAAATTCGCTTCAAGCACTCCAGACTTTAATTCAAAAACAATGGCAACTTCTTCAACGGTACAAAGATATTCGTCATGTTTCCATAAAACTCTGTTATGGGTTTATAGCCCCAAAGGGCCATAGCCTCACTGCAGACATCTTGGATATTAACAATCTTATTGAAGGGCAATATTTGTTTCCAAGAATATGGCGATTCGAAATTATATTTTAAGTAAGCTTGAGTAATAGTAATATTTGGCTTCAAATCCACAAGGCTTTTTGTTGGCAGGCCATAAAACCTATATAAGTCTATTATACCGTCCAGCGGATGTTGCACTAGTTCCTCATAGCGAACAATGCTAAAAAATAATTTAAAAAGAAAAAATCAGAACATCTTTTGAAGCTAACAAATTTGAACTCGGTGAATTTACCCAAAACGATGCGGATATTCTCTCAATAAATACTCAGCGACTTGATAATCCTCCACCATATTTTTGCATAGATCCCCAGGCTCACTGCAGGAGTGACTAGAGCACCAAATACGACCGCCACGTGAACTCATAGTGGCACGAGGATCTCGTACTATCAATATCATACGTACATTGAGGCTAAATTGTAAAATATATACATACATATATGATTATGTATGAAATATCTATTATTGATATACACATCTATTTGATACTCACTGCTCAAACTCCAGCAAAGATTTCAGATATAACAGACCCAAGTTATATACAGACATATTGATGAATGGAAATATTTTGCAAATTTGCGACAACGTTTCCGGCTTGGAACAGACCTCCATGGTGTAGGTGAGGCACGTCTTCCACTGCACCCCATACAATTTCCGAAATGTCGACGATTTCATGCCATACTTGATCATCTCCAGCGAACGATTATAGTCACAATTCAGCAAGGAGCGCAACTCGTTCACCGCGGCCATGGCCTGAGGCCTCTCGTTGATGCGCTCCTTGTATGCTATCAGAGGCGAGAAGTGATGGTATGCCCCCGGAAGACGAGAGAATTCCTCCAATAAGCCTATTAGGCCCGAGCCATGAAATGTGATCAGAATCGAACGCACCGGCTGGCCACCAGACTCCAGAGTGATGTTCGTGAAATTTGTATATTCCGCCGAATCCTGTGTCTGCTGGGCGAGTATATTGCGCGACATTGTCACCGGATCGGGCAACAGCAGAGGCAATATGCAGAATACAAACAGCATATACGTCAAATAGATGGCAATGCAGATGCCGGTGAATTTTGTTCTGCGCTGTACCATCTTGATGCTCAATTGATCTCAAAATAAAGAAAAGAGAAATGAAAAAAAGATGTTTAGACGCTTACATAAATTTATTTGATATATTTTTCTACTTTTCTCCAAATACTGTATCAATTTTGTTGGAATGTGCTCAAAAAGAAAATCGATGATTTCATGCGACATATGTAACTACCCTATAGGCTACTATATCTGGTAAATGAATATCCAATTTCTCTCACAATTAAAACAAAACTCTACAGGCAGCAGCTGAGCTCTATATGTCGAACGGCCTCAATTTGTAATAAGTCTATCAGAACTCTTTAGGTTTTCTCTATACTTTCTGTATACATGTGTATATTAAATTTGCTTAAAATATAGACTTCATTTACCAAAACTCTTTGAAAAATAATGAAACACTTGTTAATTAAGACTTCCATTGCATTCCAAAATTGGAACATGTCTCATGTCTAATTTTCTCCAATATATCATTCCCATATTTTATCTAGCATACGCTTTCTTATTTACATAAACTATTTAAAAAAAACACACAATTATTTTTCATTTTACTTTCAGCTTTACAGCATAATTTATTTATAATTTACCAAATTATATAGACATAGCTGTATAATTTAATATATTTATTGATATTTGTAATATATATATAATATATTTTTATTTTAATATAATTTATAAAATAAAAATATTACTATAGTTTAAAATACGTAAATACTTTTTTATTAATTACTTGTTAAATATTATATATTAAATGATTCGACAAATCGATTTCAATATTTTCCAATTGCGAGCTTTTGCGCCTGACAATAGAAACAAAGACTAGAAAATGGCCAAAAGATTGCACAAATTTCTTCGTAAAGAGGCACAAATTTACGTATTTGAAGATTTAGTGTTTTGATTTTGGTTAAATAAATAAAACAGAGCAAAAGCTCGCAATTCTGGGAGAAATAACATATAAAAAATTGTTTATATAATTTGTATGTTCTTTTCTGGCACTACATATATGCATGTATATCGTTTTTTAGTATATATTCAATAAAAATTGTAACCTGTATTTTATATATCTATAACTATAGTTGCACATATATAAGAGGGAAATTTTAAATATTTCTGAACAAAATTATATATTAGTTTCTATATTGCTAGTCTTCTATAAGATCGAATATTCATATATATGCATGTATATGTATTGGTATATTTGATGGGAATTTAGTTAATGCGGATTTGAATATGGCCATATACATTTTTGGGTGTATTAAATGGAATACATATTTAGCTAAATGCGGAAGCTCAATATTTGATTGTAATTATCGATTTTAATAATTTCAGCTGGATTCGTATAGTCGACGTTTTATTTTCGTGACACATTGGTATACATTCCATATTCCTAAGATCTTTCTACCCAAGATCCCAACTCTACCATTGAGAAGATAAAGATGAATCTATCAGTTTTTCATTCTATACATCTACATATATAATATTAATATAAGCAAATCGTTTAGACTAATTTACAACTCTCTCTACAAGAATCCAGAATAATTCTATATATTTTTCTCCTATATATGTATATGCAACTATATGAAACATATGATTATAAATATATATATTAAGTCATTTTAGGGGTATTATTTAGTCAGTGCAGTGTTAACTTGTGCATTAAAAACACAAGGCAATTGGGATTAGGAGATCTCGACATGGCCATATAAATTAATGGGAATTATAGAGTAAATGGAATATGTATTCCTCGAAATGTCTCTGGAGCTCAAGATTCGAATGTGTATATCTGTATATGTATATAATACGTTCTATTGACTTGTTCCCTAGGCATAAATAGAACAGCTCAGTTAATATACTAGTATGCTATATAAAAACTCTTTTATAATACTAACTCTATGAACGATAAATATTTAGTTAATCTATTGATTGACAAAACAAAGAGTTGACAATACATAAATCATAAATAGGTTAATAACTCATTAGACTTGCCATAAAATATAGATATGTGCATACATTTGCTTGGCTGTCAGGAGTGGAGTATTCAAATAAAATAAGTTTTTTTCATGAGAACCAATAATAAAATATACATAAGCTTATAAAAAAACAAGGAACACTCTAAAATCAAATAGTGGACAGCAAGTCATAGCCTAAGATCAATGTTGAAAGACTTAAAGTAATGGTTAATGTAAAATATTATATATATGCTTAATATATATATATATATATATATATATAATTAAGTATCAATCGCTATTTCCCTCAGTTTCATCGTCCAGCAGCAAACTTGTCGAGCCATAGCTACGGAGTCTGCAAAAAGAAAATTTGCAATTAACCATATATCATACAACATTATATATATAATACATTTTATAAAGAAAATAAAAATAATCAAAAACCAAAAGTTAGTTGCATGCTGGAGTTTCGCGTCTCACCTCATCATCGGATACCTTGAGACCATCTAAATTAATACTATTGCGCGCATAGCCCGCATGGGTTTGCTCCTTATCCTGCGATTCATACTGCTGCCTATTCGCATCGACATCCTTTTGGGATGTGTTTGTCATGCATTTCAGAGGCAAAGCAAGATTGGCTCGATTGCCTCCGTTGCTGCTGCTCGTGTTGCTATTATAGCGAGCAGATGAGCTGCGCTGACGCTGCTGCTGCTGCTGTTGTTGTTGCAAATGCTGCTGATGCAGCTGATGCTGCTGCTGTTGCTGCTGTCCATGTGGATTATCAAACTTCTGCTTGGCACGCTCGAATTCCAAATTGCGTGACTTCGACTCGAAAATGTTGTCCTCGAAATGCGATGTCTTCGCATCGTAATAACCAGTTGCTGCAGCTGCAGCTGCTGCTGCCGCCGCATTGCTTTGCTGTTGCTGCAGGAGCGTGCGCTCCGTATGGCTGGAACGCTTCGCGGCAGCCGCATGATGCACTGCCGCCGAATCGCAGCCATTGTGCGAGCTGCGCAAACCCGCCTGGCCATCATCAAAGATCTGGCGCAGATCATTGATGTTCGGCAAACACTCGCTGGGCAGCTCAACGGCAATTTTGTTTCGCAACTGAACGCCGCCAATACCACGCAACTGCGGACTTGGTGCGCGTCTTCAGATATTTTATTTATTTATTTTTTATTTTTTGGTTTTGTTAAGTTTTAGTTTTTATAGCCAGCACCATGAAACATGTTAGTTGGGGTAATTAGTTTGAGTTGGATTTTAATTGAAATAGTAGTTCATAATAATAGATTCCCTATTCACCTGTTTTGCAAATGCTGTATTTGCACCTGCAGCCCCTCTGTCTGTCCCACCAGCTCGTCATTGCTGCGCTGCAGGCGTCGCACCTGATTTACGGCCGAGTCCAGCTCGTCCTCAGCGCCGGCTAGCTCACGTTTCAGCTCCTCCACCCGCTGACGCAAGCGTTTTACCTGAAGAGGAACAATAAAATATTTAATCAAGGGCAAATTTATACAGTGATATTTTAATGTATGTAAGCGAAGAAGAACTACAGATCAAATGAGTTGCCTACATGTGTGCAACAGTATTCCTTTCGTATTTATATTTGAGTATTTGTCACTTCAAGCTCTACTACAACGACCCCTACTTGGCGCCGTGCTCAATATTTGAGCGCGACTTGGTCTTTGAGTGAAAGTAGCCCTACATAAAAGGGCAGCAATTGTAGGATTTCTTCAGTCGCCCAGGGTCAGTAGTGCAGTGCAGAACAGTGAAGTGAGGTGTGTGATCGTTCAACTAAGCATGAATGACTTGAAGGAAATACTTGGCGGAAACAGAAGAAATACTTAGGCTATATTATATATACATATATATTTAAATTAAAGCCAATAACAATAATTAACTCAATAAGCTATTAATCGGCAAACCCTTAATTTCATTGATTATCAGCACTCTTATATTAATTTCTTCAGATAAGGCGAGTGTGATTAGAACCCCCACGGCGAAGCTATGCGAACAACAATATATGTAGATGTGAGAGCGAGAGCGAGAAGGCAAATAGATAGCAACCGTCAATGGAAAGCTTTTATGCAGCACAAAGCTTTTCTGCTCAGTCTCTCGTCACGAGTCCAGCGCGACAGTTGAGCGAGTGGGAGAGCTAGAGCAGCTGGCGGACAGAATTTCATATAAAAGCTAAAAACCCAAAGAAAATAACAAATAAGAAGAATGATTGCGCAAAGTATAATCACTAAACTACGTCCATGCCTTGTGACGCGCCGCCTTTCCAGCAGTAAAGCGAGTGCAGCAAAATTCAATTGGCAAGATCCATTGAACTTGGAAAGTCAGCTAACAGAAGAGGAGGTATCCATTCGGGATGCCTTCCGCAGCTATTGCCAAGCGGAGCTTTTGCCGCGCGTTAAGATGGCCAATCGATTGGAACAATTCGATAAGAAGATCATGGAAGAGATTGGCAGTCTGGGCGTTTTGGGCTGCACCCTGCAGGGCTATGGCTGCGCCGGCGTCTCCAGTGTTGCATATGGACTGCTCACACGCGAAGTGGAACGCATTGATTCCGCCTATCGTTCTGCGGTGAGCGTGCAAAGTTCTCTGGCCATGGGCGCCATATACGATTATGGTTCCGATGAGCAAAAGCAAAAATATTTGCCCGGCCTGGCTCAGGGAAAGCTGATTGGTGAGCAAAACAACATTTAGTTCGCAATTCATCTCTACACGATGTTCATGTTGATCACCTGCTAAGTTATTTTTGATATTTTTAGCATTACGTTTTAAAGATTTGTTTATCAGCACTGATAAGAAGCAGATTAAAATAAGTGTTAGCAAGATAGAAAGAGAGGAGCGTCCCTAACAACAAACTAAAGCAAACAAGTTGTGGGATTGTCTTGGGAGAGGGAGTTGGTGAGGGAATTGAATGTCAGCAAATGACAGCAAATAACATAAGCACTACCGAAAGCTCTCTCTCTCTCTCCGTCTTTGTACTCTCATCAAATATTGAATTGGCGCTTGTATTGGAGCGTTCAGTGAGAGCGGAAAAATACCAAATGCAAAAACATAGCAATGCCCAAACAAAAGAAAAAATCATCGGCATCACCGACAATCGAATACTCTACAAAATATATATGTATATAAAAATATGTAAAATATTTAATATACATATATACCATTTTTCTATACATATATATTCAAGATTTTCAGAAGAAAAATAATAAAGTAAAAATCCACTCCACGTATTTTATGCATGATTTTTCAGGCGCGTTTGGTCTAACCGAACCGAATCATGGCAGCGATCCAGCTGGCATGGAAACCAATGCCAAATATGACAGCAAGACCAAGACCTATATACTCAATGGCTCAAAGACGTGGATAACCAGTGCACCCATAGCCGACGTCATCATTGTCTGGGCCAAGTGCGAGGATAGCAAATTGAGGGGCTTCATTATCGATAGGCAACTGACGAGCAAGGGTCTGGACACACCCAAAATTGAAGGCAAATTTTCGCTGCGTGCTTCACCCACGGGCATGATATTGATGGACGATGTGCGTGTGCCGGAGGAGCTGCTGCTGCCAAACGCATTAGGCTTTAGCGGCCCATTCAACTGCCTCAACAATGCACGCTATGGCATCGCGTGGGGTGCGTTGGGTGCTGCGGAGACATGTGTGGAAATTGCGCGTCAATATACATTGGATCGCAAGCAATTCGGACGACCCTTGGCCGCCAATCAGCTGATCCAAAAAAAACTGGCTGATGCGACGACAGAGATAGCACTTGGCCTGCAAGCCTGCCTGCATGTGGGCCGGCTCAAGGACAAAAAACTTCACACACCTGAGATGATATCGCTGCTGAAGCGCAATAATGCGGGGAAAGCATTGGAGATCGCACGTCAGATGCGAGATATGTTGGGCGGAAATGGCATCAGCGACGAGTACCATGTGATCAGGCACGTCATGAATCTGGAGTCGGTGAATACCTATGAGGGAACACACGATATTCATGCTCTGATCCTGGGACGTGCAATCACCGGCTTAGCGGCGTTTGCCAATTAGACTTAAAGGTATTTCTGATATGTAAAAGAAGTCGATTCTGGCATTTATCTATGGTTTCTAGCTTATAATAAATAAAGTAAAACTGAATGCTTATTTTAAAATTGAGATCTATGAGAATATAAGGAAGAGACTAACTATGATATCAAGATTCCTTTTCAGAAGATAATAAAGATCTACTTTAAACCATTAAATATGAATTTAAAATAACTAAAATCAATGCAGAGGATAAAGCTCAAAAGTCCACACTCATATTTAAAACAATTTAGATTGCGAATACTCAAACTTAATTTAAATTTAACTCACCTCCGCTTCGTATTGTTCGGCACGTCTCACGGCATGACCCAGTTCCGTATTGGTCTCGGCCAGCAGCTTCTTCAACTTTGCATGCGACATTTTGACTTCACTAATTTCCTTATTACGCTCCGAGAGCTCTTGCTGCAGAGCGCGTAGCTCCACATCGTTGGCCTGCATCGGGCGGCATTTGCGATCCGAACGCTCCTGATAATCGCGCAGTTCAGCTCGCAATTTCTTATTGTCGCGCTCCAGTGCTAACTTTTCAGACTCCAAACGTTCGCGTTTGCCCCACTCCGATGCATTCTCCGCCTGCAAATGCTCAAGCTCGGTGCGCAGCTCGCTGAGACTGTAAGATATTAGGAATTAGTATGGTATGCAATAGACGGAGAGCAATGAGGAGAGAGCTAAGTCTTCCATACCGACGCTCCAGATTCTCGCGAGCAGCAATTTCTTCTTGCAGCGAGTTATTCACGATGCGCATCTCGGCACGATGTTGCTCCTGAATATATGCTGGACATTAGTACATTATATATATTAAATATTGAATTGGTTTACCTGCAATGTGAGTAGCTCTCGCACTGCCTCCTGCTTGGCAGAGCGTAACTCCTCCTGTCTGCCGCGCACATCCTGTAGTTCCAGCGCCAGTTTCTCTATGCTCTTGTGCAGCTCATGCTTTTCACTGTCAAATATATATAAATAAATATATTTTTGATAAATTACTTGTAGTTATTAGTTAAGCATACTCTCGCTCAGCTTGTAATGTCTTTTGTGCCTCATCTAATCGCAATTGCAACATGGATATCTTTTGCAGCAAGTAATCCTCATCAAAATCATCTTTGGACAATTGCTGTATTAGACGTTTTTCCTCGGCAACAGCCTCAGCCTCATCCAAATCACTCAAATGCTTGGGCATGGCGCCCTTTAATGCAAACTCTTCAATATCCAAATCCTTGACATCGTTCGGCAGTTTGGTAACCAGCCCGTCTTCGCTATTGACATTCTTTAGGCCATCGGATGAGATGTCGGGCGAGCAGTTTGCATCGCGTCCATTCGCTTCAGCATCCTCATTGGTATCCGCACGATGAAACTGTCCAGCATGTTTCATCATCAGTGTGTGCACCTTTTCCATCTCCTTCTTTAGCTGAGTTATCTGAACTTCCAGATCATTTTTCTCCCGTTTTAAAGAGTGTGCCTCCTTCATCGCTGCGTCCAGTTTAAGACTCAATTGCTTAGACTCCTCACGCGCTTTATTCCGCTCGTTGCGAACCTATTAGGTTGAAGTGTTGTGTGTGATTAAACAAGTTGCAATCATATTGATTCAACGGCTGGTGCCATGGTAACTTTACCTTACTCCATTTCTCTCGCCAGTTGGCAGTACAATCGGACCTGCAGTGAAATTAGGATTTAGTATGTTAATGAGTTAAATAAGTAGCAGCTGATGCTTTGCCAAGTGGCTCCTACTTACCACCACTTCATTGTCTTTTCCATCTGTGCAGCTCTGGCGCGCGCTTCGTGCAGCTCTCGCTGGCGCTGCGACTGTTAACCACATTTTAATATATTTATGATTTGCATTATTTTAAAGTCATCTTACCTCGCGTGCCTCCCATTCAGTTTCGCCATAGCCAACACCACCGACGCCCACGCAAACGCCTGCATCGTTGTTTTGCAAACGCCTGCTGCCCGCTTGAACGGCAGCGGCACTCTGTGTCGTGGACGATGTCACCTGTGACATTTTCTAGCACTTTATACAATATTTTAATATTTATTATTACACAAATTCACACAATTTAAACGAATTGCATTTTGCCTTATGCACTTTTCCCAAAGTTGTATACAGAAAATAAGACAAACAGCTGCTGATGTGTGACCAAAACAACATTTTAGTATTTTAGCTGATAAAAACAGTATATATTTCTGTGCCGCAAATATAACTAATGTCATATTTGTAGCATTCGGTCACACCGCGTGTAACATTGCTAGAAGCCATTGCCAAACTAAACGTAAATTTGTTATTAAGCTTGAATATATATCAAAATAAAACTATTTCAATATGGCTAAGCATCATCCCGATTTGATTTTCTGCCGAAAACAGCCTGGCGTAGGTAAGTAGCACAGAAATTAGCTATTTTTTCTATAGTGTGAGTAAAAATATTTGGCCCTGTTTGCTTGTTTGTTTCACGTGCAGCTATTGGCCGGCTTTGCGAAAAGGACGATGGCAAATGTGTAATTTGTGACTCTTATGTGCGTCCTTGCACCTTGGTGCGGATCTGTGATGAATGCAACTATGGGTCGTATCAGGGACGCTGCGTTATATGTGGCGGCCCTGGGGTCTCCGATGCCTACTACTGCAAATCCTGCACCATTCAAGAGAAGGATGTGAGTATATTGTGAATAAATTTTCTAGTCAATAACTAACTTAAAATAATTGCAGCGCGATGGCTGTCCTAAGATCGTCAATCTGGGCAGCTCAAAGACAGATTTGTTCTATGAGCGTAAGAAATATGGATTCAAACAAAAGTAAGTGAAGTCAAAAAGTCGATTCGAAATATTTTTTACTTAAATATTTTTCCCTATACACAGTTACTAAAGACTGGGGATGGCAGAAAAAGGTGAAGCAAAGAGAGCGATAAATTAATTGCAACCGAAAAACCCCATTATTAGTTCAAAAATTAAAATGTTAAATGATTATTGTATGGATAAGGTTCGACTATTTTTACAAAGCAATTGATCGCCTCATCCCTTCTGAAGACTACTCCACAAACATAAACATAGCTATATATATCTAATAGATTTGTATTTTAATATAAAGCATATACATATAAAGATTTAAAAGTGAATGTAATGTGGATTGGGGAATCAGTTTTAGACTGCCAGCAGCTGCTCGCCGCTTGGCTCGTACTCCAGGCATAGACGATCGAACTCTGCGGACTTCTTATCCAGATCCACAATAAAATCGCTCTTCGGATAAAATTGACGCAACTGCTCCCAGTAACGAGTTATCGTCTCCGTTGATTTGCCCGTCAGATGTGAGAGTACCATCATATTGATCAATGTGTCGTAATCGTTATGCTTCTTGGTCAGCGATTCACGCAACACAGCTTCCGCCTCTTCGTAATGTTCCAGGCCCAAGTGGACGACTGCCTGGCCATTGAGCAGCGCTGGAGTTGGCTTAAACTTCTCACAGAACTCTTGATAGATGTGAAAGGCATCCTGCATTTGTTCCGTGCCCTGAGCCAAGGCTACCCAGGCCTGTGCGAGCTGTGTGAGTGTTGCATCGTCACTGATCTCCTGCATTTTGGCCACCAACTGTTTGGCCAGGTCGACTCGATGCAAGCGCAACAGACACTGAACAGATAACGCCATCGATTCGAGATTGTTGGAGCCATGCAATATCTTCAGAGCATTCTCGAACTGTCCATCGTAACAGTAAACGATGGCTGTTGCAATGTGCCAGATGTTCGTCTCATCCTCATCGCCGGCCACTTTGTCGGTGAGCTTTTCGAGCAGCTCCTCAATGCGAGAAGGTTGCTCAAAGGCCTCGTGCACGAAACGCAAAGCCAGCAGCGGTGTCGTGGTATTCTCTTTGATGTCCGACGCAATGATGCGACCCGAGTCGATGGCCAAATACGATAAATACATGTAAGACAAGAGTTCTGCCCCTGCCGTTCCCTGCTCGGGCAGCACAAAGTTGATGGAGCCCATGAAATTGCCGATATAATATTCGTTGCGTGCATCGAAGAGCGCCGAGTTGACATCTTCATCGTTTTGTTGTTGGGCTCTGCTCATTTTCAATAAATAATTTCAATTGTCTCACAAACGCAAAATAAAATTTATAAACTAGAAGCTGAGTTGGCTTTTCAGTTACAGTGCTGCCACCTAGTTGCAAAATGCTGCCAACTGTTTCAATTAAAATGTCGTGGAAGGCCAGTGGAACTTGTTCTTTTCAAATTCCCTTCCTTGGAATTTCTGATCAGAATAATTATATATAGCGCCAACAAAACTGATTCAAATATAAAAGTACCACAGGTAATTGTAATAAAATGATTTTTATATTACTACGTGCAACAAGCGCATTTAATTCTTTCAAACCTCTAACAAGAGTAAATTAAATATCGCCGCTCTCTGAACTGGTTAGCTTTGAGCAAAACCGCAGAGATTTACATTTGCAAAAAAGAACAGGTTTGTCTTGCTGATTATACATCTATGTAATAAGTATTTGTTACTTACCTTGTAGTTCAGTCGAGTGATAAACGTTGTCTAACAATCATGTATAATCCACAAGAGAAGAACATCGATTTGATCCGTGAATACTTTCCTAGCTATAACACAGCTAGATTTCAAGATCAGCCGGAACCCAATGTGGCTGTACAAGACCACTTTCTGCGGGTCACCTCTCAGCGTAAGGCAAAGCCAATTTCTAGCTTTCTCATACATATGTTTTAGCGCAATAATCTCTTATCATCATCCGAAAACAGACACGCAAGAGCTGACGACCCAATCTGACATCAAAGTTCACAATTTGCGTTATGGCGGCACGGATGATAGACGACTAGTTGATGTTTTCTATAAGAACGGCACAGCGGAGCAGCCTTCGCCTCTCTTTGTTTATGTCCATGGCGGCTATTGGCAGATGCTTGATAAATCGCATTCATGTTCGATTGTCAGGCCTCTGGTGCGTCGTGGCTACCGTGTCGCCGTCATGGACTATAATAACTGTCCTCAGGTGACACTGGCGCAGCTACTGCAGCAGTTTACCGACTTTTTGTTATGGATATTCAACTACGCAGAAGAAACGAAAGCAACAGAGATTAGTTTTGCAGGTCATTCGGCTGGTGCACACCTCCTCGCTCAATTGTTACATGTTCCATCATTAATTTCGGAGGAGCGCCGCCAGAAAGTGGGCGTCTTATTCTTTATATCCGGCGTTTATGATTTGCGGGAACTTTGGCAACTCGATCCTGTGAATCCCAATAATATCTTTGGCCTGAATGCTGAGAGTGCCAAGGAGCTGTCGCCCATTTTATGGCCCTGGCCTGCTGATAGTCCATTCTGGTCTGGCGCTCACTTGCATGTTATAGCCGCAGAACACGAGAGCGTGACCTTCATCGAGCAAAGTTGCGTTTTCGCCAAGAATTTGCAGGATGCTGGATTTAAAGTTACATTCAAGATTTTCGATAAGTACGATCATTTCGATATTATCGAGGAAACCGTCCTGGACAATTCACCGATAACTAGCTATCTGCTAGGAGCGCTCAAGGCGGAAGCTTAAAGCGCAGGAAGCATCAAGCTAAACGCCGATAACTCCGAGTTTCGATAACAAGGAGCAGACAGTGTAATATTTTAAAATTAGTTGACAAACATAAGAAAACAGTGCAGAAGAAAATGAAGGTAATTTGATTTTTTCATTTTATTTCTTATGCCATTAGTGTTTTTTTAAAACATACACTTAAATGTAATAGTAGTTGCATTTCATATATACACTATCTAAGCATTTTGTTGCGCACTAAAAAAGTTACAGTTATTAAACAGCATCCACAAAGTGCTGTGTATAATTAATGGAAACTAAATTTAAATATCTATATATATGATACATAGAATACAAATATAATTGAAAACAATTAATATATCGTATATGGAAGTATAACAAATTGTGCGCAATATGAGATAAATAAATAAATTCTAACTAAAGAAAACATAAACTAACATGCTGATGATGGGAAATGAAGGACGAGGAACATTTATGACTCCTCATCCGAAATGATAATTTCTGTGATCTGTTGCTTTTCTCGCTGCTGGTTTTTCTGCTGCTGCTCCTGCTGCTGCGGCGGCTGCTCTGCGTTGCTAATATTCTTGTTGTTGCTTTTACTATTGTTGTTGTTATTGTTGCTGGTTGTAGATACAGTTGCATTTAGACTAGAAACGGAAATTACCTTTAGTATCTGGGCAGCAGGCGTATCCTTCAGCTTGCCGTTGGGCAACGCCTTGGCAGCCTCTGCTGAAGCACTCTCATCAACATTATCATCAGCATTATTATTATCATTAGTAGCAGTAGTCTTGACTCTCGTTACATTATTAACTATCACAGGAGCAGCCGCCGTTGCGGCAGCAGCAGATGTCTTTGGTGCTGCATTTGCCTCCGTATCGGATTCAACATCGCTAATATCGCCGTTTGCTTTAAAATTATCAACAAAGGCATCCACATCCTCGTCCGTTTCATCATCGTCCTCATCATCCTCATCCTCCTCGTCACTGTCGCTCTCGCATCTTTCTAGGCCATTCGTTAAGTCGATTTGTTGGGCTGCCTGCGCCTGTGCCTGAGCGCTGGTGCAGGGCTTCTCATCGTCCAGATTTGCAACAGCTTCATGCTTAGAATCTGCCTCTCCAGCTGCTGCTGATGTTGTTGCCGCTTCTGCTTCTGCTGTTGTTGTTATTGTTGTTTCTGCTGCAGCAGCTGCAGCGGCTGCCGCAGCTTGTTTTTCCTTTAGTCTCGCCTCTCGCTGCTCCTCGCTGGTGAGATCCTGCTCACGAGCAAATCTGCAAAGCACGTTGGAGGTTAGTTGGGATACGCAATGAGAGTTGTTTTAAACGCTACCCACTTTTCTAGAATGTCGCTGATTTTGGTTTGCTTTTTGTTGTTCTCATTCAGCTTAGCCAGCAGGGTTGCATCCGAGGCAGCCGGATCCTTGGCATTGGCCGTAAAATGAGTCACGGTCTCATAGAGATCAGTCTTGCGCCTCGCCTGCAGCAGGCGACCCACCTTAACGAAGGCGTCATGAGCTGCAAAATATGGTATGAATTATATGGATATCAACAACAATAGCTTCCTCTTACCTATGCGCTTCATTTCGAATGTAGCCAAACCCAGATTCTTATCCTTATTGCAGTGCTCCAGCAGCTGGAGTACATCATGATAATCGGGAAATTCGTGCATGCGATTGACGAACGCGGAGAGTGTGCGGTTAAATTGTGGATATGGCGTATCCTTAAATACTATGGGCTGCTTCATCTGGCGATGGGCGCTCTTACTTTCACCGGTTAAATCACAGATTTTCTCATAGATCTGGCAGGCGCGCTTCTTGTAGCGCTCCACCTGCAGATAGCTGGAGTCATCATCGTCATTCCAATCAACATCCGCCTCCTCCAAGGCGCTAATACGTTTCGTAATGGTGTGCAGAGTGCGATTCAATTTTCTAATGCGCTCATCGGTGCGCTTGTTGCCGGTGCTAGCAGGAGCCGCGGGAGCAGCAGGAGCTGGCTGTGCACTTTTAATCTCAGATGCAGTTGGCGTTGGCACTGGAGCTGCTACTGCTGCTGCTGCCGGTGCTGCTGCTGTTGTTGGCTTCTCTTCCGGCTCGTCAGGTGGCAGCTCTACGGCTTTGGCCTTACGTCGCACCTTCAGCTCATCAACCACATATTTCAGATGCACATAAATCATGTCCGGCTCATTTCGCATGCGCTCCATGGTCTGTTCCAATTGCTTGCGAAAACCACGTGAACGGACAAAGTTCTCGTGGACACTGTAATAGTATTTCATCAGCTTTATGTCAATCAATCGCTCCATATCCGGCGATTTGTCCAGCTCACGGCATAGCTGCAGCAAGGCCGCATATTCCGGCACAAGTGGCGGACGTGTTGTAGCTGGAGCAGCAGCAGCGGCAGCCGGAGTTGAGGTTGCTGTTGAAGCAGCTGGAGCGGAGCTGCTGCTATCCACCTTTTCTGTTGGTGGCGTAGTGGGCGGCGATTCGACTAGCACAATGGTGGGCGTGGCAATGGGCTGCTCTTTTGGCTTGTGACACTGCTCGAGCTGCTGTTGCGCTATGTGCCGCCGCCACTCTTCATCGGATTTCTTGAGCACTGTGATGGGCTGCACGCGCTTCGTCGCCGGCTTAGGGACAGGTGAAATGCTTGCACCCGGAAAGGTAATCTTAGCAGCAGCTGCAGCTGTTGCAGCTGCTGTTGTTGATGTTGCTGTTGGCGGTGGCGTTGTTGTTGGCGTCAGCTGTGGCGTTATACTAGTCGTGGGTGGCAAATTGAGCAACAGAGGCTCATTTAGGGCTGCCGCGCAATGCGGAGGCGTGGCTAATAGACGTAAAGGCGGCGTGGCGCCAGCTGATGTGATGCTATTGCTGCTGGGCGTAAACTGTTGAACGTTGCGCAGGACAGCAGCTGTTGCTGCCGCAGTTGGAGCTGTTGTTGTCGCTGTTGCTGCAGCTGTTGTCACTACAGCCGTAGATGTTGCTATTGTCGTCTTCATTTTGTAGGGCAGTGTGCGCGCTGCACTATTAATTGACGTTGGCGTTGGCAGCACGATATTCTGTCTGCTCAACATGGGCATTGACGTGAGCTTGGCTAGCTGACTGGTCGCATGATGCGCAGGCGGCGGTGCTACCAGCTGCTGTTGCTGCTGTTGTTGTTGTTGCTGTTGTTGCTGCTGTTGCTGCTGCTGCATCTTCTGTTTCTGCAGCAGCAGGTTGCTGCTGTTGTTGGTGGTGCTGCTGCTGTTGGCACTGTGGGCTGGCGGCGGCAGCTTCTGTTGGGTGGCGGGCGACGTCAACGTCACGTTCAGCGGCATCTTCTGCAAGGTGGGCAAACGTTGCGGCGCTGTTTGCTTGGCCGTTTGCTTAACTGGCAGCTTTTTGGTTAACATTATTTGCTGGTTTACTGGCTGTGCTTTCAGCTGCTGCTGTTGTTGCGGTTGCTGCTGTTGTTGCAGGGGAGGCTTCGACAGTCGCTGTTGCAGCAAAATTGGCTTTTGTGTCGGTAGAGTTGGTGTAGATTGTTGCTTTTGTTGCTGTTGCATCTGCATCTGCATTGCTGACATCGTAATGGACGGCTTTTGCTGCAGTTGCTGTTGCTGCACCTGCAACATTGCTGTGGATTTCTGCTGCTGCTGTTGCAACACCGATGCTACCTGCTTCTGCTGCTGATGCATAGATGTTGTCGTCGCCAGCTTCTGTTGCTGTTGGAGAGTGGATGTTGGTGTCGTACCATGCTTTTGTTGCACTTGTGCTGCAGCTATCGGTGGCTTCTGCTGTTGTTTGATGGGCGTTGCTGGCCTTTGCTTCGACTGCTGAAGCTGTTGCTGTTGTTTTTGCTGCTGCTGAAGATGGTGCTGTTGTTTTTGCTGCTGCTGAATATGCTGCTGTTGTTTTTGTTGCTGCTGCTGTAGTTGTTGCTTTTGCTGCTGCTGCTGCTGCTGTAGTTGTTGTTTTTGCTGCTGCTGCTGCTGCTGCTGTTGTAGTTGATGCAGTATAGTTTTTTGTGGAGCTGCAGTTGGGTTTGACTTTTGTTTTATCGTCGTATTTTGCTGGACTGTGCCGGATCTTTGCGCCGGCTTTGTTGTCAGCGTCTGTGGACTGGGTACGCTGGTAATTGTTGCCATGGTGGTGCCCGTTGTTGTCTTCGACCAGGTGCCACTTGCCACTTTAAATGGTTTGTAATTCACATTATTATTGTTATTATTATTGTTACTATTGTTATTATTTTCGACTGTGACTTTGGCAGTGGACATGTTGAAATTGCCATTGCTGTTGTTGTGCTTGGTTACCGTTATGCCGCTGGGTATGTGCATGGACCTGTAAGATGCGCTTTGTCAGTTACCGATAACAGTTTAACAGAACAATAATCAATATCTTATCGATATTTAGTAAGCGCATTGATTCAAACGTACGTCTTACTGAATATGTACATAGACATTATTAAATGATTTTACTATTGCTCGATACCTGTATGTCCCGACCACGGTTCCAGCAGCTGTCGCCGTTGTCACTGCCGTTGCAGTAGGCGTGACCTTAATCCCACTGGCTGGCGTGACAATAGAAGCTTTTGGTATGTGCAACAATTTCGTTGGCAAGGTTTTCGAAGTAGACACCTTTGTCAGCTCTCGACGCGGTCGCTTTACATCGGGTGGACCCTGTAGTGAAAAGGAGATGAGAACATTAATAAAAGAAAACAAAAACGACCTGTTGGGTATTGCATTTTAAATTCGATTTAAAAACAAAACAAACAAATACGCCGCTGCAGCTGTGTGAGTGGGGCAATGTGTGTAGAGTTTTGAGGCGCGCCGACCCATGGAGTGTAGAGTTACATTTATTTCGCCTGCTCATGTAAACAAAATGTTAACATAGCTCACATTTAAGTGAATTGCGTCGCAAACTATACAATAATGTCACATAAATACACCCACACATGCATGGCAACTGGTTTCAGTTAGAACAATTAACATTTCTAATTGCTAGCATCAAGTGCAGCAGTTACTGCAGCCAAGGTGGCAACATTGGCAGCATTGGATCTGTGCATGTGTGTGCGCGTCGAGCTGTTGGTGTATGTATGCATATGCATATGTGTGCGGGCAACAATAAAAGCACCGCGAAAATGATATTCGTACACATAATTTGTAATACACACACACTCACACACACATGCTCATTCACATGTATGAAACAAATATAAACGCACGCACGCCAACACTAACACGCGCACACCAATGCACAAAACCTATTAAAAATACAACTGTACTTTTCTACACCAGCTGAACATTGTTGGCGCTGTCACTGGTGCTTTTACCTCCTCCTCCGAATCCGAGCTCAATTCCACATATATAACCGAAGTCATAGTTAATTTACACTAAGCACTCAATTTTTATTTGATCCGTCGCTTTTTGCTAGTTTTTCTTGACATTTGGATTAACACACGCAACTGTTATTGTTGCCAGCTAGTTTTTCACGTATATATTACGTCTGTGTCTTATAATTTGATTTCGCCTGCGTTTGTATTGTTGCTTTGCGTTTGTTTTCGCAGGCTAGGTTGCTTTGCTTTTTGTAGAGTTCTATGTCACATAAAGTTGCCATATTTCCAGGCAATAATGGCAACACTAAAATTAGCAGTTTCGCTCCTAACTTAACAGTTTGTGGTGACTATCTAAAATTTATTAATTTTACATAACCGTAACAGGCTACTACACCTGCTGTTAATTTACATTCCTTTCTCATTTTTGCGTTATTTGGGCGAAATGTTATATAGTAAGGAATCTTAAGGTAGAGGAGTACAACATAAATTAGGAATAATAATAAACTAAACTGTTAGTCAGGAACTTAAAATCATAAGTTCGCTTTCGAATTTAAATGATTGTCGAGTAATCGATAAATCGATATTAACAGCCCTAATCCAATGTTAAGAAACGTCAATATTATATTGCAAATGACACGTCGTGCCTACTTCGGTTATTTTCGTTTTCCATAGCATCGTTCATTCGGTTTTCGTCAGTTGAAGCGGTCGCTGTGCCCGTTGGAGTTTCCCCAATAGAACTGAAACTTTCTAAATTTTGTGTAGAAAGTGCGGAAATACAAATCATAAGTTTAGTTCCCTGCCGTACGTTACATTAAGTCAATCACAATGGGAAGTAAGTACAACGCCAATAAATTGATCTGCAATACCTACATAAAAATACCGCTCAACCTTGCCAATAAGCTGCGGCCGCTTCGGCAACACCCCCGTACTTGCTTACGTATACAAAAAAAGATGACTTTTGAGAATTTATGTACCACCGAAGCTATTTGTGCAAAGTGCGAGCTATAAAACACAATAATACATTGCAAGCAAAGCTAACCAAATTAATTGTTTTCATTCACCCATTTGCAGTTAAATTCCTAGAAGTTATCAAGCCCTTCTGCAGTATACTGCCAGAAATTGCAAAGCCAGAGCGCAAGGTATGTAGAATTACCAAAAGACAGCTATATGTATATATTTCTTTACGTACTAAATTACAGTGTCAAAAAGTGTAATTTGTGATGAACTCTTTTGGTTTTTCGGTGTTTAATTTGCGTTTATATATCGTATTTGATTTGCAGTGCACCAGTGTTGCCAGCGCACGCGTTTTTTAGGTTTGCTTTCACTTGTCGGTTGAATGCGCCACGCAAACAATTTCTGATTTAGTAGTAGACATTTCAAAGCGCACAAGTTGTTGAAATATTATATTTATTATACATAGATAATTGTAATGCATGTTGCTCCTTTAAGTGTTAATAATATTTTGAGTCGAAATTAAAAGGTTAATTTCGCCATCAAGTGGTAAATATTTGTGAAGAAGTTACATATGTGCATTAATCAAGATGTCCTTAACTATATAGTGTTCGTTTCTATTTTGATTTGATCATTTAAATTAGTTTTTCATTCATAAAACATTTGAAATTAGCTACTACTATCGTTATCAACGTAAAGTACGATTTGTTGACTACTTGTTGCCCTACTACTGTTTTACACAATTTTGACACAACAATGCAATACCGCATACGACGTGGAAACGTCAAACTTCGGCTTGCACGAAGTAGCCGCACGATGCTGTGCGACGTCAGCTTCGTGTGTATTGTTGTGTTGACTCGACCATATGACGAGCAACGATAAGCAAAACTTGATTTTGTTGTTTGAGCATTACCACACGTACACACATGTAGGTCGGCATAGCGGTAGCTGTGCATGATGGGGGTCAATGAAGGGCTAGGTATGCTGCTGCAATGCTTATGGAGAAATTAAAATTAAAATTGTATAGAAATATATGTTTTGTAAGAAATTTGCATTAAAAAATATAAATGACAGTAATAAATTTTGCAAATATTTTTATTGCAGATTCAATTCAGAGAGAAAGTACTATGGACAGCTATCACATTGTTCATTTTCCTGGTGTGCTGTCAAATCCCGTTGTTCGGCATCATGAGCTCCGATTCAGCGGATCCCTTCTACTGGATACGTGTGATACTGGCCTCGAATCGTGGCACACTCATGGAGCTGGGCATTTCGCCCATCGTGACATCCGGTTTGATTATGCAGCTCTTGGCTGGCGCCAAGATCATCGAAGTCGGTGATACGCCTAAGGATCGTGCTCTCTTCAACGGCGCACAGAAACTGTTCGGCATGGTCATCACCATTGGCCAGGCCATCGTCTATGTGATGACTGGCATGTACGGTGATCCATCGGAAATTGGCGCCGGCGTCTGTCTGCTGATCATCATCCAGTTGTTCGCTGCCGGTCTGATTGTCCTGCTGCTCGACGAGCTGTTGCAGAAGGGCTATGGCCTGGGCTCTGGTATTTCGTTGTTCATTGCCACGAACATCTGTGAGACGATCGTGTGGAAGGCATTCTCGCCCACCACTGTGACAACGGGACGCGGCACCGAATTCGAGGGCGCTGTGATTGCCCTCTTCCACCTGATGGCGACACGCAACGATAAAGTGCGCGCTCTTCGTGAGGCATTCTATCGCCAGAATTTGCCCAATCTGATGAATCTGTTGGCCACCATTTTGGTGTTTGCTGTCGTCATCTACTTCCAAGGCTTCCGCGTGGATCTGCCCATCAAGAGCGCCCGCTACCGCGGACAATACAGCAGCTACCCCATCAAGTTGTTCTACACTTCAAACATTCCCATCATTCTGCAGTCGGCTCTGGTCTCCAACTTGTATGTCATCTCCCAGATGTTGGCCGTCAAATTCCAAGGCAATTTCTTCATCAACCTGCTGGGTGTCTGGGCCGATGTTGGCGGTGGCGGCCCAGCTCGTTCCTATCCCATTGGCGGCCTGTGCTACTATCTGTCTCCACCAGAGAGCGTGGGCCACATACTCACCGATCCGATCCATGCTCTGCTCTACATTGTCTTCATGTTGGGCTCCTGTGCGTTCTTCTCCAAGACATGGATCGATGTGTCTGGCAGCTCAGCCAAGGATGTAAGTTAAGCATGAATTTAAATTCATTTGTATTTAATTAATTCATATTTTCTTGACTTGCTTTCATAGGTTGCCAAACAGCTAAAGGAGCAGCACATGGTCATGCGCGGTCATCGCGAGAACTCCATGATTCATGAACTGAATCGTTATATTCCAACAGCTGCTGCTTTTGGTGGTCTTTGCATTGGCGCGTTGTCCGTTATGGCTGATTTCCTGGGCGCCATTGGCTCCGGTACGGGTATCCTGCTGGCTGTGACGATCATCTACCAATACTTTGAGATTTTCGTTAAGGAACAATCCGAAATGGGTGGCATGGGCACGCTGCTGTTCTAAGCAGCGAACTTTAACAATCACAAACGAAATAGAAATTAAAACCCAAAACAATAACAGCAAGAAAATACTTCATCATATACTTCTCACATGTCAGCTCGCTGCGATTCCCGCCACCCGCCTCGCGTCTACCAATTTAAGTGAATTAACATCATCGTCCTCGGTTCAAGACAAGAAAAAGTTCCACGATTTGAAGGTCTTTTGCTGCTAACCTAGGCCAAAAAAAAAGAAGTTTGTGTGTAATGCGACAAGAACTTTAGTTTGAATAGTTTTATTAGTTTGTACCAGAGATAACTGAAAAATGTGAGACTTTATTGCTTAAGTTCAATATTTCACCGAATTGATTGAATTTCAATGCAATTTATTGTTTTTTAACTGAATGTGTAATATAATTATATAGACCATCATCTATTACACGTGAAATTATTACAACACACGATGATAATGAGTACATGAAACGAACATTAAAAATCACGCATTGAGAATCATGCATACAAATTGTCATAATAATAAATCGTAAATTAGATAAACTTTTTAATTCAACAAATGTATTTTTTTGTTTTGGTTTCTGATATTTGAAGTTTAAATATTCAATTTTGAACTTTACAAGTTTACCGCTCTCTTAGGATACAATGTTATCGATATCAATATTTAAAATTGTAATGCAACAAAGCTCTGTATTGGATTTGGGAAATTTTCGTTTTCGCTTTTATAGATAATGATGCTTTAATAGTTCAGAGTTTGTTATATGCCGATTTAAAAGAAAATTAATTTATAGCAATTGTTGGAGCGATAGCTTCGATATGGGATAATCGGCTTTCAGCAAGCGCCAACATCAACATAAGGGATTTCTGGCTTTACAGAATCTGGTCTCACTTTGTAGTGCATAAAATGAAAAAATAATCGTAAATAAAAATAAGAAATTCGACACACAGTTTAAACAACATAAACGCACACAATTAATCTACTAATGCGCATTTACAAACCGAACAGCATAACGTGCAACGACCAAGCTGTGCGCAACACAAGCAAAACACGACGACGACAACAGCAACAACAAAACCAAGAAGAGAAACAACAACATCATCTGCGGGCAATCGAAATCTGAATTTGAGTTGCCATGTCAGCTCCACTCACACGAAATGTACCGTATTTAAAACAGCAGCTAACTGCTCTGCTGCACAATACGTCGCCAGTGATAACATTGATCTGTTTAGTGACAACAGTGGGCTATCTGTTATCCTATTCGGAGACAGCAGTATTGCTGCTAAGCGTAACGCCTGGCTATTTATTGCCCAACGGTAAATTTTGGATATGGACCGCATTTACCTTCTGCTTCATCGAGCTACACTGGTGGGAGGTGATAGTGGATGTGGTGACAGTGGGACTGTGCGGCAAAATGTTGGAGCCGCTCTGGGGTCAATTCGAAATGTTCAAATTTTTTGCACTAAGCAATTTCGGCGTTTCGCTCGTGACGACGATCTATTATCTATTCTACTATATGGTTACGAAGAATCCAACAATATTATTCGATGTACACATTCATGGCTTGGCTGGTTATGTGGCTGGCATCTGTGTGGCTGTGCGGCAAATAATGCCGGATCATCTCATCTTCAAGACACGCTACGGACGACTGACTAATCGGTGAGGTTTCTAAAGACACTAAATGATCTCTTTTTAATATATAATCTTTTCTTCATTCTGCTGCTGCAGAAACGTTCCTTTGTCTGTGCTCATCCTGGCCATCATTTGCTGGGCGATTGGCATGCTGGATGGCACATATCCGGCCATGTTTGCCTCTGGTGCTATTGTCTCTTGGATCTATTTGCGCTTTTATCAGCATCATCCAAATGG